TGACAATGGAAACATGGCAACCACTACACTTCCTGCAATGCACCCAGTCTAAAACTTTAGTTATAGGAGTCTCCAAACAGAAGATGGAATGTGAAAGGTGAAAGGTTTAGTTTAAGAGTCATTCAAAAGGATGCGCTTCAAGTAAACATAAGACTCTTCATAATGAAAAATAGCAGCCAACAAACATTTCTTATTCACCTTATTATATGAAACAGATTTTATTCACACACAACAGAAGTGATCAACCTGCACAATACAAATGAGAAGCTCTGAATTTCTGTATCTTCAGAGCTCTCAAACTAATTCTGGAAAACCACCCTTATTTAAATATTGATGTTTTAAAGGTATTTTTCATGAACTTTCTTAGATCTTTTGAAGAATAGCTCATTGATGCAAACAATCTCAGTTGTTTCCTTTGAGGACACATTCCATAAAAAAAAACACTTCTTGAATTATCTGTGCTTGGATATTTTGAAGAACAGTTTATTGTAATCCATCCAAATCATGATTACTCAATCCCTCTGCTTACATTTGTTAGACCGGCCACTAAAGTTATGCAGGAGTCACTCATGGTTCATCTCGCTCCATTTATTTCTATACACAGGTATTTCTTGATAATAATCAGACATTTGAAGTACAATAAAATCAATCCTTCCTCCTTCTCTATTATTGTAGAAACCCAGATGCTGCATATTACAAGGCAGTTTGGTTATTAAACTTTAACTCTTCAACATGCATTCAACATGCCCAATATACAACTGCAGAGCAATGACATACACAGGTCTGACAGTGGTTTGGAGGCTGTTTCTAGTTTTCTCTTCTGCAAGTACCACTACAGCATGTTTCCAGGTTCAGTTTGACGTATCTTTGATGATAACTCTCCATTACGCTTGGGCAACTGCCTCCAAAATGCAAATAGGAGCAGGGTCCTAAAGCAACCCATATCACAGACATTTTCATGGTGAACAGAAGCTCCACAGTATGGCAGGTTCCCCACCTTTTCTGCAAGTGAATGACCAAGGTCAAGCCCTTAGATTTGTTTTGTTCAAATCTTATAGGCAACAAATTTCGAAGCAATGCATTCAAGCCAGTAAAGAAATTAGTTGTCAGCAAAGAAATGAAGATAAAGAAATTGGTCTTTAATAAAAGGGACAGAATAGTGCGATGGGTTAGAACAGTATCATTTCACTTGAATTTGAGTTCATACTGGTGAGATGAATATCATCTCTCTCAAGGATCCTATGTGAAAGGAGTTTAAGTCATCTGAATTCAATTGCTACCAAATATAAATCACTGTAAAAAGTCACGAGGAATCTGTGCTAAAAGGGTTAATCGTTTTGTATGGACTGGCACTGGGCAATTTTTACAGCAGCAATTACAAACCAGCGCTCATCAGACGGCACAAGAGGTAAAAGAGTTAAATGGCCAAATCCATTACAATATTCTTGTATTACATGTTACTTCCTTTAAATACACATATAAAATTAGAGGAAAGTCAGGAAGTCATTGCAAGCAAATCCTGAAAAATGTGTTAAATTTTTCCTCAATATATTGAAGAAATGCACACTTGCCCCGCCAGCTAATGTCAGCGAATATGCAGTGGAATCCCAAAGTACTGTTTCGAGAGCAGATTGTGCCAGAAAGCTCCCTAATACAGTGACACAGCTTGACGTGCCCTAACAACATAGGTGCATAAGCAAATTCTGGACTCTTTCCTAGTTACAAGCACAAAACTGACTTTTTTTTTCCTATCTGTCGTGTCAGTGAAACTTTCTTTGCTGAAACCAGTTACTGTTACCAACATATCTAATGTGGTCACCTGACAGCACCATCCACAGAAGCAGAAGCAATGGGGATTACTCCAATGGCAAGTAATTATAGTTGACCTTGACAAGCCTTGCAGTCACACAATCTCGCGTCGCTCCCAAGGTTTATTCAATATAAATCTTTTTCTCCCTCTGAAAAATCTATGTTCTCCTGAGCTACAAACCCTTAAGCAAAATTCCTAGATTAATTACATGAGCAGAAATATTGAACAACAACTTGCACACACAGAGCTATTACAAAGCAGAAAAATAGCCTAAAACTTTTCACAAAGAATTAAAGATATCTACCAAATCCTGTGAAAAGGAGGTCTGCGTAGGGGTGATCAAAAGCCTGGTCAAAGAAGTGATGTTTAAGGAGGTACTTAAAGGAGAGAGATAAAGGGAGAAACAGAAATGTTTTAGGAGGGGAATCCAGAGCATTAGGGCTGAAAATACAAGAGAAAGATTGGGTGAAAGGCAGGAAAGGGAGGAAGTGAGGCCTGTGAGGCTTGACTCAAAGAAACAATTTGGTAGCTTATAACTGATGACAGAGATACAGAGGAATAAGGCCAGGGAGAGATTTAAATATGAGAATGAGAATTTTAAATCTGAGGTATCGAAGTGCCATTAGCTAAGGAAGACAATAATGATTGGTAGTACTATGTAGCAATGGATAAGATTTGTATAGCACAATCTTAGAGGAGCTGCTGTTTGCAAAACAGTGAAAGCTGCAAAGGAGCTGAAATAGTCCAGTATAGAAAATGCATCAGAGGTAAGACACTGCCTGAAATTATCAAGATCAATCATTAGGTTTTATTCATTTGGTTAATTACAGGTTACCTTTGGCAAAACCAAAAGAAAATGAAGCAAGTGAAACCCTATTTGCTGTAGTAAGCAAATTCACCCATAAACTACCAACAGCAACAGGCACAATTTCACATTGTGGCAGCATTTCTAAAAGTCAAAGAAGTTCTATACATGTCAGTGATGTGGCCCATGTGTTCCCTCAAACAATGTGACAGCAGGTATACTAAATTAATTATTTTCTGTATTCACTGAAGGACAGCACAAAATAGTTGTGACAATACTTATAAAGGGAGGCTTCGATGCGGGGGACAGTGCATCATGATGGCTGGCAGAACTAAAATGTAGATCTGGGACTCAGGAGGTAATGTTAAGAAGTGAAGACTTAAATAAAAAAATAGGTTGGGTACATTGGGAGTTCAAAACTGCTGGGATAGACAGAGAGTACAAGGCTGTTTGGGGGAGGTCACCTAAATTGACAGACTGAGCTTGTTACTCTGTAAATAGCGAAATACGTTGCCTTCCATCCTCAACCTAATTGCAAACACACAATGAAATGCACAAGGGATTCCCCTTAATCCACGCTTCAGACTGAATTACTGGAAGTTTTCTTGACAGGTGGAGAATGATGCACAGCCTCCCCTATGATCAAGTGGACACAGTCACCATCATTACCGATGCAATGGGCTGGCTTACATTCTTCCCTTAGATTTCAGTATAATCATATTCAGAATAACACAGTCACTTGGTCTATTAAAAGACCAGTCGGGTCAATTCTTGACTTTGGTCCAAATGTTCCTGAAATCAGCACAACAGCTTTGTCATTCATCTGAAATTGGCATTGGGTGGTCTGAACAAGTTTCTGGTTTGGCCGCATTTGAAAATCGCCGAGAAGTTGTGTCTGCCATTCGAGTATTCCATCGGGGACTATGCAAATGTTTTGGGGCATTTCTTGTATGGACACCAAAAGTTCCTTTGAGGTCAGTGACTGGGTCATCGACCATTTATTATGAATAGGTGGAAGTGCACTGTGCATGCTCTGCCAAGTTGTGCATTGGAAGTGATAAATAAATGCCAGAAACAAAATATATCCCCCATACTTAAGCAGATGCCTACCAAAAACATACAGGTAATCTCCACTCCCTTTTAAGGGCACACTTGAAAACTGCACCATGCAAGCCTTGAGTATCAATGGAGAAACCAGGGATCCTTCACCCTTCTAATAATCATCTCCTGATGGCCTGGCTTTCGGGCAGGAAACAATTAGACCATCAGTTGACCATTAAAAATCACTCTCTGTACCTTTTAGCAATGGGCCAAGGCTAACTTATCAAAGATAAATCAAGCCATAACTTTTAAATAAAATCCAGCTCTGAAATTATGCAAATTCCACAAGCATGCCACCACATCTTTGAATGATACCTCATTCTGATAGCATATGCTTTATTTTTGTAATTCGTCCAGCACGACCTAGACAACATGCAAGCTTGGGCTGATAAGTAGTAAGAAATATTTACACCACACAAGTAGCGATGGCCACGTCCAACAAAAGAGAATACATCGATCTCCCATTGATGTTCAACAGTATTGTCTTCATTGATTGATCACGCTATCAACATCCTGGGATTTATCACTGGACACTAAACTAAACTGGACGATCCATATAAACACTATGGCATCAGGAGCAGACCACAGCAAAGAATTCTGTGGTGAATAACTCAACACCTGATTTCCCCAAAATATTTCCCTCAACCACAAAGCACAAGTCAAAAGTGTGATAAAATAATATTTAATATGCATTATATAATAATACATACAGGGTTAAACTTGCCTCGACACACACTGCATTATACAAGGCTTAAACTCCCCTCCACACACACTGTGTAATATATACAGGGTTAAACTCTACTACACACACGTGGCTTGAAGAGTGCAACTCCAATAACACTCAATAAGTATGGGATCATCCAGGTCAAAACAGCCTGCTTGATTGGCACCTCATCCACCACCTTTAACATACACTCCTTTATCTACAATTGCACAGTAACGGCAGTGCGCTCCATCTACAAGAGACACTACATCAACTCACTGATGAATTGTATGTTCCATATCTGCAATGTCTACTATCTGCATGAACAAAGGCAGCAGATTCCTCTCCAAGCCATACACTAGTCTAACTTGCAACTATATTGTCACTCCTTCACTGCTGTAGATTCAAAATCCTGGAACTCCCTTCCTCACAGCACTGTGGGCATTCCTACCCCGTCGTGGACTGAAATTCACCACTACCTTCTCAAGGGAAATTAGGGATAGACAATAAATGCTGTTCTGGCCAGTGAGGTTCGCATTCCATGAACAAATAGAATAAAAATTCTAAGGATTCATACGTACCAGAAGAAGCTTCTAATCTCTCTAGTCTGCTTATTAACCAGTCCAAGGAACCAGAAAATTGGGCACAGTTTTTGCGATTGCCTCTGATCAGGGCAGCTAAAGACAGATGAGACAAGATTAGGGCATAACTTTATACATCCTTATTTCACTCAACAGGAACACAAACAATTTTCATTCATAAACACTGGCACTTCAGACCAGAATATCGGATACCAGTCCGCGAAAGGAAAACAGGTAGGTGTCAGATAAAGATCTACATTGTCAGATAACCATTTGGATTATTCACAAAAAATAATGATTACGTTTTACAAAAACAATAATCTTGTTAGACAACACGATGATGTTAAAACAAATTCTGAAGCACAAGGATATGTAATATGTCTGAAATAGTCTGCACTCCTGGTGCAACATGTGCTCTGACAAAATACAATTCAGTTTTGATTAATCAGAAAGTGGGCAAACTTCATAACTCACTGAAAAGTCCTCAATGCATTATCAGCATTCATTTGTTTGCAATTCTATTTCAATAAGATAAAGGTGCTTTGTTATCATCACAAATAATTTGTGTTGCTAACAGTCTTCTTTTCTTCATGTAGCAAACACGTTAGGAATACACTCAGTATCCATAGACTATTTACAATGTATTTCCTACATGCCTATAAAATAATGACTATTTGCTGACAATTGTTGAATCTCCTTACCTTTTTATTCTTGAGCGCACCAGCAAACAGTGTGATAATATTTATTTTAATGCCACGTTTTTTTCAAGCATTGCTAATAAATTAGTTGCTCATGCATTTTAGCAATGACAATCAAACATCACAAGGCAAAAATTGTGTTTTGGCTCTTCCATCTCAAAAACGTTGTAAAAGCCAGCTTTGCGTACTGGCCAGTTAGGTATTGATTTAAAGCAGATGGATTTGGAATTTAAGGGGTGCTTGATTCTCCAGTGTAGACTGATGACAATCAGGGCAGAATCTAATGCAAACATTATTTACATATGTGTGTACATAAAGTATTACATATATGTATATATACTCAAAATAAAACAGATAATCACTGGCAAAAAAGAAAATACAATCCTAAGAGATTCATCAGCAAACAACAACTCATTACTTCACATCCTCCGTCTAAGTTTGTAGCTATCTTCATACCAGTCAATAGGATGGTTAATCTAGTGCTGTGTTAGGGTTTTATGGGACCCCATTGCCCATGATGCATGCAGGAAGAGGGCCATCAATATCCATCAGATGGAAATATTTAACTAAATTAAGGTCCTACCCATTGGCCAGCTCAGCCTTTTTTACAACATCCTTTAATACTCAACATATCTTTGAAAATGTTTAAAGGAGTCACCTTGAATTGAATTTGCTGGTATGACTATTGGTGTAAATTATCAGGTGAGAAAAGTTATGCATAAATCTACTGCAATGAATATATCAACTGGAAATAAAAGATCAAAAACATACATCTTACCAAGTAGCTCATACAGAGAATTTAGAATTGCTCTCCATGACTCTCCTGCTTCCTTCCCGGCTACATCTGTAAAATGAGCTGCACTGCTGTACACGTTGAGATGATCAATGCACTCAAGAACTAAGTTAATCATTCCCTGCAAATGAATGTATGAAGACAAATTTGCAGATCGCTATATAGTGAATTTTCAGCATTTTTTTCTGAATGAGTTGTTCTGTGCCAATAAAACTGCTTATTTCTGCTTTGGTATTATTATCATGAAAGGCATTTGACAGGTTTTCCAATCAAATGGAAGTGGGCTGTGTATTGTACATTCAATTCTTTTGCAGTTTAACTTATTAACATAACTTCAGACTAAATCCATCACTAAAGATTAGTAATGTGAATCTAATGCCTCTAAAGGAGAGCTGCTTACCTCTTCCTGGAAGAGATTTTGTCTGTTCTTCAATGCTCGCAATCTGTTCTGTCGTTCTTCATGTTCCAGATGTTCATCAGGTGGCTGAAAGTAACCAATCAGATCCCGCAAGCTCAGGCTAACTGACTCAATGGGCAAATCGATGGCTGTGGACTTCCCTTTTTTATTGAGAGTATCAAGGCCCCTGAAAATGCAACCAAATATTAGCCACAAAAAAGTCCTAATGTCAATGATCATGCATCACTGATAGTCTTAACCTTTCATCACATAAACTTGCTGACAAAAGGATTTATCAAATTGATAAAAATTGATAGAAATTCACTTCCTCCATGAAGCAGAATTTTGAGCAGACAGAAATTTCCGAAGTACTCACGAAGCTGTAGCAATTTCTAATTAGTAGAGGAAGCCTGATGATTCTTTTGTCTATCCGCAAATTTTGTGACAGTAGTCTGGGGACATGTGTGGAGCAACTGCTAGGGGTTAGGGTTAGGGTTAGGGATAAGGTAGGGATCCCACCTGATATGTCTCTAATTAACCCGCTTGCAACTGCTTCATTTGAAAACAGAAGATGATTGTAATGATGATGTCACCAGTATCACATGGGGCCCATCAGGGCTCCTTTTCCCTTCAGTGCATTTGACCTTGGTCAGGAAGAGAGAGGGACTAATAAGGCATGTGTGATTCTGGACTTTGTAAATTGAGACAGTACAAAAGCAAGGAAATTACAGTGAAACTTTGGAAAACACTTGTACAGCCTCAATTGGAAAGTTGCATCCAATTCTGGTCTCCACGCTTTAGGAAGGATGTGAAGGCACTAGAGAGAGCGCAGAAGGTTAGGCACTAGAGAGCATGCAGAAGGCTTTACAATAATTATTCCAGAAATAAGAGACTTCAGCAATGCTGGTGGTTTGGCAAAATTGGAACTGTTCTCCCTCGAGAAGAAAAGATTAAGAGGATACTTGGAGGACATGTTTGTCTGAACAGTGAGAAAGGAGAAACCTCCTATTGCTGCAAAGCTCAATAACCAAAGGTCAACAATTTAAAGAGACAACATATGGAGAAACTATTTTTATACAGCGATGGGTTGGGTTCTGGAATGCACTGCCTACTAATGTGATGGACAGAGACTGAATTGTGATCTTCAGTAGGGAATTAGATCATTATTTGAAGAGAAATAATTTATTGGGCTGTGGAGAAAAGACAGGGGAGGGTATTGCTGAGTTGTTCTCACAGAGAGCCAGCATGGATACAATGAGCTAAATGGTCTCCTTCTGTGTTATGACTCAGTTTATGATTTTCTGGCTCTAATTCACAGATTTGCAGGCTGTGCTGTGGGTGGTTTGACCAGAAATGAGAGCAAATTTTGCTGGTGAGAGCATCATGACAACCAACTTCCTATCAAATGGGAGGAGAAAACTGAATAATAATAGGCACCAGAAACTGCAGAAAGAAAGGAGACAGCAATACTAACAGCATTGGAAAAGTGCCCAGGAGATTAAGAGTTTACAGGCAAGCAAATAACTGAGGTGAAGGATTTAAAGGTCTATCCCCAAGTTAAGCCTTGAGTTTATCTTCTTCCCTTCCTCATTGAATTAATGAAACGCAAGTCCATAGCATAGCTAGCATTCTTAGCAGATGTTGTGATTGAGCCTGTAGAGATCTGTCTTCACTGCATTCCCACTGAGGAAGTAATTAGAAGTATCGGATTATACCTTCACTCAGGGGAAGTGTGAAGATAAAGCACATGGAACATACTTTAATCACATATTGTAAGGGTTAATCAAATCAGGTATGACTGACACTACAACGAGTTCTGGCAGTTTATTGGTATGAGGTAGATTAAAGGAGTTGGAGAGATAAGAGTTTACAGGTTGATGGAGCTCATGATTCATTTGGCAAAGCAGATGGGTTGTGTTTGGATGTTTGAAACACTTAACTATGTGTGACATCCTGTACAAAGTGCCTTACAAGTCTGAGTGACCAGTCCTCTGACAGACAAGTCTTCTGTCTCCTTACACAACTGGGACTACTATTTGCCATCTCCTGTCTACTTCATGGCAAGGTCCCATTGCGCATAAAACTGTGAAAGAACACACAGAAGTAATTTTGGACACTACGGTCAACTTGTATTGGCAACCTCTTCCATCTGCTGAGGGGTTTCCTTCTCTCAGTTCATAAGGAAAGGAATGCCTAACAGAATACTGATTGCACCTAGGCGGGGAGAGCTCAGTTACCCCCGTTCCCATGGTAAGTCACAAATTAGCATTCTGAGGTGGAGCTTAAGAGAATATGATAGCTTTAAAAAAACCTCAAGGACACTCTGAAATGAATAATGAAAACACAGCTACTGCATACATTTCAATTTCTCTATTTTTGTTGTGGACTGGGCCTCTGTAGTGTTAATCAGATGCAGTGAAGGCATTATGCAGAAATTATCCCATGAACATTTTATTGAAATCTTAATAAATGCAGTGCTTGCCTGGTCAATAGCCTGTTAGTGTCACAGACAGTTTCTCCTACAAACACAACCAAAAGCCATAAATCATAGTGCCTTACACTATAGTACAAGTCTCATGGCATATCAGTCCAATAGGTGTCAAGCAATGTATTAAGCCTAGAGTTTACTGTTGGGGGTAACTGTACACAAGTACTTAATGCATTAATATGAATTTGCTGCCTGCTGTTTTGACAGAGGGGTTGAACCATTTTGAGTAGATCGATATCTGTTTTCAAACACTGGACAGAGATTTGTTGTGGAAAAGCAATGAACTGTTGGTAATACATATATACCTATGGACTATGAAAATCCAGAATATGGAATGATTTGGACATTTCCGGGTTAAAGAAGGTTTAACAGTTTTTCTCTCTCTCTAACTCTCAGTTAGCAAGAGACAAGCCTTAAAGCAAAAACAGCTAAAAGTTCACTCTCTGACTGAACTACTTCAAAAAACTGATAAAGTTTCAAATCTCGAGGCTCCTAATGATTTCCGATTGAATACCAAATCTGATCTGAAGATCTTCCATCATTCTGCAGCTGTCAGCAATTTGATCTCATTAACAGGAATCAAGGGAACTATAAGAAGTCAACGTTCTATCTTATAAATTTTTAAATTTGAACTCCAGTGGAATTGTTCCTTTGTTGTCTATTTTTTTCTGAACCTTGATAATTCCACAGAGCTGTGTTGTCTTGTTTTGTCTGCGCATTAATTTGTGGGTTTGGGATTAAGGGGATATGGTTTAAATCTGAGTAACAGCATCAGAGAGTAATAGAGTCATATACAGCACAGTAAAGGTCCTTCAGCCTATCAGGTGACCCAAGAGATGACCTGGAGCTTTGGGATTCTAGAAAACTGCTTTACATCTGCACTGTTAAGAAAGCATACCTAATAAACCTGTTGAAGAGAAAAGCTGTGCTGCGGATAACCCGTGCTGTCCTTGATTCTTCATGCTGAGAGCGTGAGAGAGTTAAGCCATCATCCATGTGGCCTTCGTGATGCATTATGGCCTAAATGAAAAAAAAGGAAGCAGACATTTTTATTGCAGCCAGATCGCAACAATTTATTTCTGCAGCCGACGTTTAAATTTTTTTCTGTGATTGCAGATTACAGAATAAACATTATCATATCATAAGAAAATGGGGAAGGGCTTGTGGATGGACTTCCTGCCTCACCACCAATTGAGATGCATTTACATGGGTGATTCATTCCTACTTAGAAGCCTCATCCTTCCAATAAGACAATAAAATGTAGGAGCAGAAGTAAGCCACTCAGTCTATCAAGAATGTTCCACCATTCAATGAGGACATGGCTGAACTGATAATCCTCATCTCTGTTTTCCTGCCTTTCCCATAACCTACAATCCCCTTACTGATTAAAAGGTTATCTATCTCAGCTTGAAAACACTTAATGACAGCCTCTACAGCCCTCTGCAGTAAAAAAAAACACCACAGATTCACTGCCTACTGAGAGAAGAAATTCCTTCTCATCACTATCTGAAATGTGGCAGCCACTTATTCCGGGATTATGCTGTCTGGTCCTAGACTCTCTCTCTTTTCTGTATCTAACCTGGCAAAAGCCCCCTAAGAATCTTGTATGTTTTCATCAGATCACCTCCCATTCTTCTATATTCCAAAACTACAGGCCCAATCTACTCAACCTCTCCTCATAAAGACAGTCCTTCTAAATCTGGGATAACAAGGTGTAGAGCTGGATGAACACAGCAGGCCAAGCAGCATCAGAGGAGCAGGAAAGCTGATGTTTCAGGTCTGGATCCTTCTTCTAAATCTGGTATCAGCTTTCTGTAGACTACTCATAATATTAGGAAATCTTTCCTTGAATAGCTGTTCACAGTATTCCAATTGTGGTCTGACTAGTGATTTGTATAGTTTTAGCAAAACCTTCCTATTTTTACACTCTATTCCTTTTGAAATAAAGGCCAACATTCCATTTGCCTTCCCTATTACCCGCTGAACTTGGATGCTAGCTTTTTGTGATTCGTGGATGAGAACTCCCAAATCTCTCTGTTCCTTTGCTTTCTGTAGTCTTTCTCCATTTAAATAATATTCAGCTCTTCCATTCTTCCTGCCAAAGTACATAATCTCACATTTCCCCATTATATTCCATCTGTCAAGTTTTTATCCACTCGCTTAACCTGTAACTATTTCTCTACAGACTGTTTGGGTCATCCTCACCACTTGCTTTCCCACCTATTTTGTGTCATCCACAAACTTGGCTATAACACATTCACTTTCATCATCCAAGTCATGAATATATATTGTATATAATTATGGCCCCAGCACTGATCCCTGTAGCACAGCACTAGTTACAGGTTGCCATCTTGAAAATGTTCCCCTTATCCTAACTCTGTTTTCTCATAGTTAGCCCCTCATTTATCCACGCTAATACATTACCTCTAACACTATCAGTTCTTATCTTATTAAGTAGTCTAATATGTGGTACTTTATCAAACACCTTCTGTAAGCTGTTGGCATTCAACCAGCAGAGAAAAGCGAACCTTGTGGGCTTCTGGGGTGGGAACCCTCTCTTGACGGCATGCAGTGCATGATCAAGACACTGAGCTTTGGAAGGGATGGGGGCCCAATGAGAGATACCTCCAATCCTTCCCGCTGGCACCATTACAAAACCCCTCCCCAGTGACTCCCACTGCACAGTCCTCCATTCTGTTGTCACTTACCTGTGGCCTGAGTCTCTGAGTGATCCTGTTAACAGCAACAGCCACCACCTCTATGGCTAGCCTCTAATTAGTCACAATGATCAACAGGCAGGACTTCCCCAGTCTGCGGACCTTGATTCTGGTGAACACCTGAGCACTACCCAGTCACATTCCAGATTGGAACTTAATTCATTTGGCCGTCCAGAAAAACGGATTATGAAGGATTAACACTGTCCCTACAGCTGAGTTGGAGACCCCATCACCCACTTTAAACTACACCCAACATTTAAATCAGAAAGAGGCAATTAGAAACACAGTCATGTCACCAATATCCAGAACAAAAGACTTACTTTACGTTGAGCAGTTCCCATCCGAGCTGATTTTGCATCTACAGACTGATAGGTGAGCCAAAGTCCAGTGTCTAGGTGCTGAATAAAGCACACTGAATCTCCATATTTAACCTCTGGGGATCCCATTCCATCCACCTCTTTTCTTATTCCTGTATCCAGTTTTTCCTGAAAATAGAAATACATCATTTTTAAACAATTCTTTATTGCACAAATATATGATTCAAATTAGTCATTATTCATCAACAGTCATTAGTTTTACCCAACCATTAAGAAAAAGCAGTTAAACCTGCAAAGAACACATACTGTTCTGACTCAGCTCATACACCTCAAAATGGAACTCCAGTGTAACAAATGTGTTCATTTCAAAGTATTACTGTTTTTCACTCATTTTCTCCCTCTGGGCAAGGTCCACGATGAATCTCCACCACTGAATGGATCAAACCCTATCCAACTCAAAATAATACAAAGTGCACTTATCTGACCTGTTCTCTAATTTCAAAACAAAAATCTTTAAGCCATGATATTACTATAGAAGTCATGGCTAGTAAATATTTCCTGAATTTCCACCTTCAAAACTGAGTACAGTTCCCTAGATGAGGATCTACCTGAACGCAGTACTCCAGATGAGGATCTGACCAAGTACCTTTGTACTCTAGGCCCCTGAGGTGAAGATCAATATTCTATCAGAGATTTGTTTATATTCTTTGAGCCTGTCCAATAGTTTTAAATGATCGCTGTGCTTAAATTCCACATTCTTTTGTCCCTCTATATTTCATAGTAAATAACACCACTGTTATTGTTCTGATGTTGGAAGCCGTGTTGAATTTGCATCTTGATAGTTAAATGCAACAATTAATGTAGCACTGCGTTATATAGAACAGGAGAGGGCCATGCTTTAATTCGGATCTGCATTGAGTTAGCTCACAGCTAGGATGAGAGTGAGAGCTTTTACTATTGACATCAGCACTCCAGCCATGTATGAGGTGAATCTTTTCAGGTCTTTAACTTTTTAATGTTATTCAATCTATACATGCATAAAGCTCAGGCAAATGAAGGGTTGAAATGACACATGGCCTCAGGCATGACAAATGATTTCGGAATGTTATCAGACTGCTCCCAGAAAGCACAGAACAAGACTCAAGTGCCAGTCATGAAATTAGGTGAGAATTTCTTTTCACTCTGGTTGCTATGACAATTGGCAGATCCAGGAACCTGCAACAGAGAATTTGTAAGACTCAATTAATTAGTTTACTCATTGGTAGTGCCAAATTTGCCAATCAGGCAAAATTCGGTACAAGAATGGTGTAACTCCCCTCCCTCTGACAGTCATAGCACAGAGGGAAATGCTACACTGAATTCTGTGACAGAAGTTGGTTGTCTCAATGTAAACAGGCCATCAGCACAGGAACGTTTTACCCAGAAAGCTAGCTAGACCTGTTGCATATTTAGCTGCAGATTGTATAATCCCATCAGGCAGAAAGTCATAGAGGACTGTGGTTTGTCATGAAAGGAAATCTGTAAGAGTGGCAGAAGTGTGGTTCATGCCGGCAGAGAGGAGATGTGGGTGGAGAATTGGGAAAAAAATAATAAAAGTTGGCAAGGGGTCATTGATGAGAGGAGCTAAGTCCTTAAAATGAAGCTACAAATACATCTGCCTGGTGTCGATTCTTGTCTACAGGCCATCCCAACAATTATTCAGCACCAGTGTCAGAACTTAAAGTGGACCGAAACCAGTGGACCGAAACCATCTGTGGGACTTTGGAAATTCACAAATTTATAATTTAAACAGTATTTATCCTCAGGATAGGAGATCCCCAGCACAGTTACAAAATAGTAATCATAGAGAGGTTCACACAACATTACAACTGTCCCTTGTGCTGAGTTATCCAAAACACCTCAAAATGAATTGTGTGCAAATTGTCAGATGCACTTGTTACATAACAACGGCCATCACAGTTCAAAAGTATTTCGTTAGTAGTAAAGTGCTTTGAAATGTATAATGGTTATGAAAAGCACGATATAATTACTATTTTTTAAAAAAAAAATCAGTTTCAAGATCCTTTTTTCTTTACTAGCAGCAAGTAAAATGACAGCTGCCAATATCCAACATATTCTCACTCCTAATAATGCTCCCACAGAGTGAAAATAATATAGGATTGGATTGACAATTGTTTTTCAGGAAATAACACTCACTATTTGGAAAATAGCAAAAAGATTGTGTTTTTGACATAACATCAACAGTCTTAACCAAACTCAGCACCACAGGGAAAATTTATTTGAAAAATTGCAATTGACAAATAACATTATCTCTGAAGAGGTAACTAAACTACCATAGAAAACCACATGAGAAAGTTGTGTTTTTGAGAACAAATTTTTAGGGAGAACAGGGTCGACTTTTACATGAGTAATATTTTTGAGGGGGTCGAAATTCATGCTGGTCTTTTGGAACTGCCATTATCCTGATAATGACATACTGATGATTTTGTTTTTGCGCACTGATGATGGTTGCTGGCCATGGTCCTGAATTCAGTAGTGAACAGCTGTCCCAGGATGTCCAGTGACATTTCTATGCTAAATGGGAAAACAGCAATTGTGTAAATGCACTCAAAAGGCTTATCAATACCACTTCACAAACTAACACAAAGTACATGAAGATGTAAGTATCTTCTGGTGAAACACCGAAGAGGGTGGGGGGACAGTCGAATTTTACACGAGATCAATTACAACTTGAATTTACATGATCTCAAAGTATGAGGTCCCAATCTGATCCCCAGGTCCTAATGAGTGAATTAATCCCAGTCACCACAGCATATTTAGTCTCAGTACTCCTGTAATATAGAGGGTAAAATCAGATGAGGTTCCTGGAGCTGTTCGTTAACCCCATGACCACTGCAATTCTACTTGTGAATAGATTAAGTGAAAAATAGATCAGACTTTGGACAATACTGAATGCTGCTATCTCTTTGGTGATGAATGGCTGCCTGTGTGAGGTATATGGGAACAACAGAAACAAATTAAGCCATATCCACCATGAATGCACCTGCACGTTAAGAGCAGCAGAGAATGTCTGCATCAAAAAGAAATACAAAAAGCAAGGGAAACATTTATCAATTACTGTATAGGTAACATTCTGTACATAAATTATTCAACACATTAAAGAAAAATATTTTTCAGTTTTTAATTATTTTAATAAATTCACACAAAAAGCATGCAGATAATATAAATGATAGTCACAAAGTTGTTTGACATTTTCAATACTGAAGATAATTAATTGTAAATATTACATTTAAATTCGGAAATAAATTGGAAAAAAGATAAATGCCAGGAATTACGTTGGGAGTTGTCTCAATTGACCATTATAACATAGGCAAAAACCTTAATGGACAGGTCACCAGGCCTTCTTTCAATCTGCCTTTGAAGTTGCAATTAACATTTGAGCAAGGTTTGAGTAGGACTACATACTTGGTTAATTTTTGCAATGGTTAAGGCAATTAATTCACGTGAAGTTTTTGGCATGTATTTCTGGAGTAAAAGCCTGGCCAAATTTTAATTGATGGCAAGTCATTGACTACAGATGAAGCCTGCATAAACAATACCAACCTGATGTGCGTGGGAGAACTATTGTAATCAACATGTTACTGTGACATATAGCGTATTCATATAAATGTGCTTCAATCACAACAGATTGGAGAACAAGCAGGAAGTCATGCTCTATTCAATGCACTCACATTACAATATGATAACAAAATTGACAGAAGGGAGACATCTAACCGTTGAATATAACTCATTTTCTGACCATTTTTTGAGGGGCATCGTTTCAAAATTAGGAGTCACATTTTAAAACAAAGATAAGGAAATATTGTTTCTCTCAAAGGGTTGTGCAACTTTGGAACTGTCTATCTAAAAAGACAGTGCAGGTGGGTGTCATTGAATATTGAGAGGTTGTCTCCTCTTACGGGAGAGTCTAGAACCAGAGGGCATAATTTCAGTGTGTGGGGTCGCCCAGTTAAGGCAGAGATGAGGAGGAATTTCTTCTCTCAAAGGATAGTGAATCTGTGGAATTTTTTTCAACCTCAAAATGCTGTCAAGGCTGGGATCATTAAGTACATTCAAGGCTGCAATAGATTTTTAATCAGCAAGGGAATCCAGGATTAGGGGGAAAGGGCAGGAAAGTTGAGTTGAAGATTATCAGATCAGCCATGATCTCACTGAACGGCAGAACAAACTCAACTGGCTAAATGGCCTACTTCTGCTCCTATGTCTTATGTCCATTTATTCAATTCTCTCTTTTTTGCTGATACCTGCTGTTCTGAGGAATTCAACCCCATGTAATTCCCACCTTCTTTGCAAAGTAGCTTAGCCTAAATTGTCTCTTGAGTTTTTCTCTTCTAAGCTGAAGTCTAAGTTGCTTGGTTTTATAATTTGTACAAATACACAGAATAGTTTCAGTTTCACAGGCTGAATAATAGCGTAATTAAGTCAGATCATTTGACAAGTATTTTGGAATACCTTGGACAATCTGAAGCAGAAAGCTGTGCTTTTTACATCAGCTTTTTCTTTGCCCATTAGAAGAAGGCCTTTCTCATCAATGAGGCTCAAGTACTTCCCTGTTGTAACATGTCTCAGTCGGAATGGCTGACCCCACCTGATATGGCTTCCACTCCACCTGCAAGGAGAAGTTATTTCACACTGTGTAATATCTATTGAATATCAGGTCAGCGAAAGGACAAACAACACCCAGTTAATGAGAATGAAACAAACAAGTCACAAGCGACAGTAAGTAACCTGAATGGCTTGCCATTTTGTTGCTAATGCTGCTCAGAGGACTTTGCTGCACTGTAGCATAATGTTGGTGTTTAATGTAACTTTCTTTCATGTCTATTACTGTTTGCATTTTAACAAACAAATAGTGCCCTCTCTACATGAAACATCCATGTTTCAATCCATCTATTTCCATTACAATCAATTTGCTTTTTCAAAAACTATAGTTTATTCATAACATTTGTAAAACATAACAGTGCATATTTGATTATATATACGGTGCAATTCAGAGCAGTTTCTATCAATGGAGTACATGAGCTACCTCACTACATTATCATCACAGGTTCTGTGTACATCGTACATTTACGTTGCATGTCAAACATCCTCTGGAGGACACGGCCTGAACAGTTTTACATGGGTTCCAATCCTTTCGTTCAGGATGGCAGGAGGGCCTCAAACAGTACTCTTTCCCCGTTGAACCTATGTGATAGCTGCCCTAAATTTCAGTGCAACTCTCAGCACATTATCCTGGACCTTGGAATGTGCCAGTCTGCAATGATCCATTATCTGAAATGTTCCACTTTGACAATACTTTTCAGCAAAAGACAAGTAAATTTTGTGTAGTCCAAAGAGTATCTTTCAATGAATTGGTGATTCTCCAGCATTAGTTAGTGTTTCACGTTACATGGGTCAATGTACATTGGGCCAAACAAAGGTTTGCTGTGGAATTCCCACCTCACTAAAGTGCCATTGCCCATGTATCATTAATTATACAATAAGTAGTATCAGTTACACCTTGTACTGTTCAGCACAGATTGCAATGATAACCACATTCAATTAATACATGACACCTCATGACTGCATGCACTTAATCCTGTTTTAGAGATGCGGGCGTGTACCTACAGGTAGTGGATTGCTGTAATCTTGTACAATAGTAACAGTGATTACCCTTTAAACAAGCCAAAGCTTATAGCAAGCAAATCGTATTCACACCAGCGTGGATTGCATTATAAACAATGGGGACAGTAATGCCATTTTCAGTCTTGAGACTGGACTTTTACATCAGCTGCGTAGCATGGAGACAGACATGAAATCTTGTACCCCCAGCCTACAGCTGGTTCCCTCACTCCATCCCACTCCCTGACTACATCACGGACATCAGATGAGAAGGGGTGAATTTGGTCAAAAGGGCTATGTAGGCACATAACCAATTTAGCTGTTTAAGAGTCTATCAGGACGAGTGTCAAAAGCCAACTGCAGATGGTAACAAAGATGCCCAGCACTGGAAGCCACTTATATTGGAGACTGGTATGACACACAGGGATGACTATGTTCATATTTGTGCAGTAACACACTGCATTCAGAGATTCACTGCTGTTGAAGTGATAACCTAGATGAGGGACTGGGAGTGATATAATACTGTTTTCTTCATTCCTGTTGCACTTAGGCTGCCATATATAGTGAAAAGAAAAGAAGCCCAGGCTTGTGCCCAGGTTTTCCTGAGGTAAGTGTACCAAAGATCAAAACATAAAGCCAGCCACTATGGGACAGTGAGCAGACAGACTGAAAGGTGGACTGTCCACCATGGTTAAATCCATGTCACTCGATGTACTTTACATGGGCCAGGGCTCACAACAGTTAAACTCCAGACATATTAACACCATTGCTTCTTATCAAGGCAAAGTTTTGAAGTTGTGAATAATGGGAGCCTCAACACTCAGTTAACTGGAATGATCATGTTCATTGACAAACATTGTAGGCGAGCATCTTGGAGCGTGTCCTTTCAATGCCAACTTAGCAAATCTGGTTTAACTTGCATGTCCACAGTTCAAAGGGCAGGTCCTAACGTGGAGGCTTTTGCAATTGAAAACTCCAATGAATAACAACCTCAATCAGCATTTGTATATCACTTTACCATGACAGAATGGAAATGATCAGGTTAGCTGGAGCCCACACTGCTGTCAGTGACTATAACAATGTAATTATCTACTGGCCTACACATGAATCCAGACTCACAGCAATGTGGTTGATTCTTACCACCCTTTGAAATGGCCTAGCAAGCCATTCAGTTCATGACCATTTAGGGACGAGCAACGAATGTTGGTCTTACCAATGAGACCCACACTCTGTCAAAGAATAAAGTAAAAGTAAAATTTATAAGTAGAGTCAGCAGGCTTTAGTTTGAAATTAGAATACAAAATGTGACCCTTCAACACAACCATTCTGTGTTGCTGTTTATTCTCCAAAACACCAGGAGTCCGATGTGTTTATTTTGATCATTTATCAGTTATCCCCTTGCCCTGTAGACACCAATGAAAGACAAAGTCGCCACCATCCTACTGTACCCTAGGGCTGCTCTCTCATTAGAGAGAGAAACGACAAGTGGTGGTATTAACCTGCAAGTTATTAGGCATTATGTAAGAGAAGAGGGTGAGAAGGAAAGTCCTTCATGGTAACCTGAGCTGGTACAGAACTGAACCCATGCTGTTGGCATTACTCTGCATCGTCAACCAGTTATCCAGTCTAGTGAACTAATCTTAACCATCTATAAATGATATCCTTAAAAACAATTCCATTTCCAACGGTAAGTCCACGGGTGCATTTTACAGACTCTCAGCTTCATAAAATAATGTTTTGCCCAGTCTCTATCCCAAATCACTCATATTAATTGTAGGTCTATGTTGCCTTGCTATCAATCTGTCCCAAACCAATGAAAGCAGATTGTTTACCATCTATTCTATCATAGTTCTTTATTTTAACATCTCTCTCAAATCAACCTGCAATCTCTGAAACAGCTGTAACTTTTCAAGTTTTCCCTTGTATTTGTATTTCTTCATCTCAGGCAGTATCCCAGGGAAATAGAAGACAACAGCAACATTCAACCATTGGAGATAACTTCTGCCAAGCAAGCATTTGTCCATTAACATTCCAGCTATAAAATCTTGCTCAGGATTGAAAAATATTACAGACGGCATTTAAGCAGGAACAACCTGATACCTTTCTGCTTCTGTTTCAGACTTCCAACATCCATAATATTTAGTCTGGTGCTTAGTACCCAAGTGAATTTTTACTGTACCTTTACTATTTCCTCAACTGCCTTCCTTTATCATTGTGTCCAAAATGTATGAAGCACCCAAACTGTGGCTTTAAAAGGTCTTAGCAACATAGAAAATAGGAGCAGGAGTGGGTTATTCAACACCATAAATCCAAGCAAACTCATCTCCAAACTACGAGATCTAGGATTCTGCTCCTCCATCTGCAACTGAATCCTCGACTTCCTGACCTGCACACCGCAATCATTAAAGATAGGTGACAACACCTCCTCCATGATAATCCTCTACACCAGTGCCCTGCAAGACTGTGCACTCAGCTCCTTCCTATACTCCTTATACACTCATGACTATGTGGCCAAATTCAGCTCTAACTCCATTTACAAATTTGCTGATGATACCACCATAGTGGGTTGGATCTCAAACAATGATGAGACAGAGTACAGGAAAGAGATAGAGAGCTTAGTGGTATGCTGTGAAGACAACAATCTCTCCCTTAATGTCAGCAAAATGAAGGAGCTGGTCATCGCCTTCAGGAAGCGGACTGGAGGACACACCTGTGTCTGTATCAATGGTGCTGAGGTTGAGGGGGTCAAGAGCTTCAAGATCCTTGGAGTAAATATCAACAACAATATGTCCTGGTCCGCAAGAAATTACACAGAGTTGTGAACACAGCCCAGTCCATCATAAAAACCAGCCTTCCTTCCATTGTCTCCGTCTACACTTTTTGCTGCCTCAGGAAACCAGCCAACATAATCAAAGACCCCTCACACCCCAATTATGCTCTCTTTCACCCGCTTCCAATGGGCAGAAGATACAAAAGTTTGAAAACACGTGCCAACAGCTTCTTTCCCACTGTTATCAGATTTACAAACAAACATCTTATATGTTAGAATTGATCTTTCTCTTCACCTTCTCTGTAGCTGTAACACGATAGGTGTGTTAGGTTTTATTGGTAGAGGGATTGAGTTTCAGAGCCAGGAGGTCATGTTGCAGCTGTACAAAACTCTGGTGTGGCTGCACTTGAAGTATTGCATACAGTTCTGGTCACCGCATTATAGGAAGGATGTGGAAGCATTGGAAAGGGTGCAGAGGAGATTTACCAGGATGTTGCCTGGCATGGAGGGAAGGTCTTATGAGGAAAGGCTGAGGGACTTGAGGCTGTTTTCGTTAGAGAGAAGAAGGTTAAGACGTGACTTAATAGAGACATACAAGATGATCAGAGGATTAGATAGGGTGGACAGTGGGAGCCTTTTTCCTCGGATGGTGATGGCTAGCATGAGGGGACATAGCTTTAAATTGAGAGGTGATAGATATAGGACAGATGTCAGAGGTAGGTTCTTTACTCAGAGAGTAGTAAGGGCGTGGAATGCCCTGCCTGCAAAAGTAGTAGACTCACCAACTTTAAGGGCATTTAAATGGTCATTGGATAAATATATGGATGATAATGGAATAGTTTAGGTTAGATGGGCTTCAGATTGGTTTCACAGGTTGGTGCAACATCGAGGGCCGAAGGGCCTGTATTGCGCTGTAATGTTCTATGTTCTATGTTCTATGATATTCTGCATTCTGTTCTATTACTTAGATGTACTTATGTAACGTATGATTTGTCTGGACAGCATGCAAAACAATACTTTTCACTGTATCTTGGTATATGTGACAATAATAAATCAAATCAATCAAAATCCCCAATAGGCCCCTTGTCAGATTCCCTGTGGCAGCAGAATTCCCCAAAATTAACTCAGGGGGCAGAAGGAACTGATGTCGGACTCCTGAACTCCACCATCAGGATAATCAATGAGGCTCAGTAATTATCCATGCAGCCACAATTTAGTGGTGCGTCAGAGATTAAATG